TGTATGATTTCTTTCCTAATTTCAACGGCCATGCCTTCCTTATTTTTGTTTGCAGCACTATCTGAGGCAATAATCTTCTTGGGAAGCATCGTGAAATATTTATTTTCACGTTAAATGTAATAAACAATTGACTCACAAGCGCACAAACGCGTAGACCAAAGAACAGTGAGTGATCTGACGAGGGAATTTCCCGAGTCGAGCCGGATAGGCAAATGGCGTCACGCATACCAACAGCCTGGCTCATTGCTGGTTACTCGAGTCAATACTCGTATTTAGAGACAAATTTGTCGCTCATACTTTTCTCGTATCTCGAATTTCTCTTATATAGAGGGGCTCGTATCTCGAGGTGCCACTGTACATACAACAGATCCTCCAGTGATCTCGCTTCATTGCATAGGTCCTGAGGGCCCTTACATGAATAACTCCCATCCACTAGAATGCAATTCACGCGCCCTCAACCTCGCGGTCGACACCGGTCTTTATACAGCGTCTAGCCAATATCGTTCGGTGAGACTCTTTCCAACCGGACACCACTCCCATCGATTCGGAAGACAGATAGGTTATCATTAACCACGATGTCAGTCATCCTCGAGAAGACCGAATGAGCCCAACCCCCTCCGAAGATCACAACTTAATATCAACCATGTAGTTATCACAAAGCCCTGGATAGACAAGACTTCACAGATGCTGTACCAACTCGGTCCCTGCCGAGACTGCACGGACCACCGAATTGTCGATGGTTCTAGTCACTGTGAAGTTAACCTATGTACCCAAGGGGCCGAGTCTACCTAAGTACAGATCTTAGCCAGAACACTGAGGGTTGTCTCGTCCAAATTGTTCTTCAGTTTGAAGATTTTACTTTCCAATAGTCTCACTTCCCTCAGCTTATAACACTGCCAACACACGATGCGATTAAATAAATCTAACCGCTCACAAACGGCCGAGTGTTTAAGAACGGAAAACACTGGTAGTTCGACCCGGATTCAAATACCAGCGAATGGAGTATTTTCGTTATATTCCCCATGTGCGAAATAAATACGAATTTGTTTCCTCAAAATGTTTTTTCACGAATATATCCATCCCTTCAAGCAGATAAACCTCGCGAGTTTTGTTACGTTCAAATAACCGAATCTAACCTTTATAATGTAGCGGTAATAATAATTATTATTACAGCCTGCTCCGCCTCTCATTGGGCACTACAGGTCGAGTCAAATCACTCCGGTCGTTGCGTTTTCATCTTAAGCTGCTTTTCTTTTCAGCTATCTTTTATTTAAAACTATTTACAATATATTTATTTAACATCATTACGTCTTACAGTTATAATAATTATTAGTACAAAAGCTTATTAAAAGGTTAATTAATTAATTATGTTACACTATTTACAATATATACATTTGGCTTGCAGCCAATTACATACTTCAGGTTTTTAACAGGAACCTGGTTTTTAGCTTTCAGTTATCATATCCCTCTGTTCGTTGACGAACTTGATGATTTCTCGAGCTCCTCTTTGGCCGTAGTAATCTGTGAAGATCTTGCGGAGGTCCATGTCTTGTCCTAAGGATGAGAAGTGTCTTGCTCGCAGGTCTTTGGTGAAGGGGCAGATCGTCAAATAATGCTTGGCATCTGCTGCTGTTGCTGGAGAATCTTGTGAAGTAGTATGGAAACCGTCCGTGATTGGTGAGTCCCTGTAAGATGTAAAAATCGGACTTTAACCTCTTCAGCTTGACTTGTGGGAAGATGGCATGGGTATAGCGGCCGGTGTCGGCTGTGTCCCAGCGGTCTTGCCAGTAGTCCAGGAGTATTGTCTGAATCTTTTGTTTTGCTGCTTCTTCGGAGAGAGGAGTAGGGTAGTCTATTGTTGGGAAGTTGGTGGCGTCTTTAGCCAGTCTGTCAGCGTATTCGTTTCCGGCTGTGCCTTGATGGCCTCTTATCCAATGGAGTGTTACTTTGTTGAGGTCGCCTAGTGTAGAGAGGATCTCCTTGAGTGCTTCAATGTGGACGGGAATAACCCCAGTCTTATTGAGGCATTGGAGTACGCTCATACTATCTGTGTAGAAGTGGATATCCATCGCTCTGAATTGTCCTGCCCAGAAGGCGGCATCTTTGAGGGCGCGTGACTCCGCTTGGAAGACAGTAGCGTGGTCGCTCAATCGTTTTGCTGCTTTGAACAGTGGTTCATTGTTGTGGAGGGCAATGAATGCCGATCCTACCTTGTTTTGTATCTTTGATCCGTCCGAGAAAAGCTCAAGTGCTTTCCCAGTTGGAGATTGTTTTGTCCACTTGAACTGCTTCGCTTTTGTCGGGTGCCTTGAGTGGATATGTGATCTGGGCTCAATGCTTAGATCATCCAATCCAGTGTCCAGAATTTTTACGTCTTGCTTTTCATGGATAAGACGATAAATGGCTCGTTCCCCTTCAGCCTTGAGGTCCAGCGGCATGATCCCTGCGATGACCTGGGAGGGCTGTGGTTGGGGCTGTTGTAAAGGCTTTTGTTATTTTGAGTAGAACAATCCTTTGTATTTGCAGTAATTTCTGTTGGATTCTTGCCGTTCCTGTCATCCATATTGGACAGCCGTAGAGTATCATTCGCTCTATGCCTCTAAGATAGAGGTCTTTTAATAGTCGGCCTTTTAGGTTCCAGTTTGAGTCGACTATGCGATTCAAGTTGTTTATTAGGATACTTGTTTTATTGCGGATCTCCGTCAGGTGTGGTACCCAGGTTAGCTTCTTGTCTATGACGAAGCCTAGGTATTTAATTGTATCATGCCTTCTCAAGGGATGATTTTCCCATTTTATTCTTGGGGGGTTGCTTATGAGTTTATTCCCTTTGGGGATTATCATCATCTTCGTTTTTCCGATGCTGAATTTTAACTTGTGAGTCTGGCTCCATTCGGTGATAATTTGAAGTGCCTTATGGGCTTTTCTTTCTATTGTTGTGCGGTTTCCCCCATTTATTACTAGGAGGAAATCGTCTGCGTAGGCCTGGATGTAGGCTGCTTCTTCTAGGTCTAGGTTAAGAGCTGTATTTGCTACTAAGTTCCACAGGATGGGTCCGATGTTTGACCCTTGTGGGGCTCCTTTGTTGTATGATCTGGTAATTTTGATACCATCTCTGGTGTAGGTTACTTTTCTGTTCTTTAAGTGACTACCGATTAGTCGGTAGAGATTCTTTGGACAGTTTAATTGTCTTAATTGGTCTCTGATTGTCGGCCACCACAGCTGATTGAATGCTGAGGCGACGTCCAATGAGATTATGCATGTATGCATGTTATTTTGTCGGTTTTCTTCAATCTTCTTCGTAAGGTTTGCCAAGGCGTCTATTGTGCTCTTGCCCTTACTAAAGCCGAATTGGGCTTAATTTAATAGGTTGTTACTTTCCAGATGGTATGTGAGTCTCTGCGTGATCAATTTGTCCAGGACTTTGCCCCATGCCGACAATAAACATATTGGTCGGTAGGCGCTGGGTTTTGTCTTATCTTTTCCTTCTTTGTGGAACAGTACCAGTTCGGCTTCTTTCCATGTCTCTGGGAAGTAACCCTTTTTGAGACATGTGTTGAAGAGATCTGTGAGATCTTGGGGATCTACTAGACGTAATTCTCCCACGAGGTCTATACTGAGGTTGTCAAGTCCTGGGGCCTTTCCCCTTTTGGTTTGCTCTATGACCCTTCTGACTTCCTCTTTTGTGAAGGGGAGGTCGTCTGTGGTACTAGGCGGGTTTTGTGACCGTTGCCTGATTAGTCGATGTTGGGTGTCGTCATCTGTTTCCGAGTCTTCGGGAAAATGGTAGGCTATAATTTCCGATATTGTCTCTTCAATTGTAGTGGTCTGAGTTCCATCTTCCTTCGTTATGGCGCATAATTTGAGAGGGCCTAGGCTTTTACCTTTGGCTACCTCGTAATATGTGCCAAATGGGGAGGTTATTTGGAGATTTTCCCAAAATGCTTCCCATGTTGATCGTTTTGCCTGGAACATGGCTCTTCTATAGATAGCTTGTTCTCTTTTGTATATTTCCCTGGCTGTTTCTCTTAGTTCTTGTGGAAGTCTTTGGAACCTTCTTCGGAGAGCTCGTACTTTGTTTCTGAGTACTGTAAGCTGTGGGTTCCACCACGGGTTGCTTCTGTGGCGGGTTTTCGGAGAAGAGTGAGTCTTCCTGGAAGCTTCATAAGTCTCTTTGATTAGTTGCGTATTGCTTCTTATATAATCATCTATTTCTTTGATTGAATTCATCTTCTGATGCTTTATGTAATTGGATGAGAGCATTTCTCTGAACTTCATCCAGTCCACGTGTCTTATGTTCAGTCTTTGATAGGTTTTTTCAATCTTTGATAGGTCTTTGATAGGTATGGTAGCTGACGTCTTGGACCTCATAGCTGATGTAGTTGTGGTCACTGAGGGTGGCTTCCTCCAGCACCTGCCAGTTCTTGACTTCTATTGTGCCTTGGCTTCGGAGTAAGGTCACGTCTATCCAGGAGTTACCTCTAACCCCTGTGAAGGTTGGAGGGCTTTGTGGATCGTTGAGGATGGTGAGGTCCGTGGCTGCTACGAAGTCGCATATCTTCAAACCTCTTGGATCGGTCTGCATGGGGCCCCATATCGGGTGCTTCCCATTTAGGTCTCCCGCTATGATGATCGGTATTTGATCATGCATATGGAGGAGATTTTCTAGTTCTAGTAGTGTCGGTTCGATGTCCTGGTTCGGGGAACTGTATGCCGATATTATTATACATGGCTTGTCTGCGTCTATCTTGACCGCGACAATGTTTTCTTGGCTGTAGAGTTCAATTACCGGAACATCTCTGTCCGTAATTATAATTGCTGTTTTTGCTTTTTCTATTGCGTAGAATTTCTTGTAGTTTATCGGGAAGCCTCTGAGTTGGTTTTCTCTCAGATAAGGCTCTTGTAGGCATGCTATTTGGATACTTCTTTTGTCTTCTAGATATTCTCTTAGATACGTTGTAGCACTCCTTGAGTGCTGTAAGTTAATTGGAGAATCTGGAGATTAACCATAGTCTATTCTTTGTTTTAGTTTTTGTAATTCCTTTTGGTAGCATGCACAACCAGTTTCTCTACTGCCATGATCTGTGAGGTATTCTGTATTGTATTTGTCATTTGATTGCGAACAATTTACGCATTTCGCTTTATTAGCCTTGCAGTCTTTCCTGGTGGTCCTCTGAACCGCATTTGGTGCATCTGATTTTGGCCGTACAATTTTTGGCCGAGTGGTTGAATCTGAGACATTTGGCGCATTGAGATACTCTAATGTATTCTCTGACGCTATTTCTCGTCCACTGGATATTGATCTTCCTTTGTTTCATGACTTCTTTGAACCTGATTGGGTCAATGGAGAGGACCCAATTGGTTCCGTATCTGCCATTCATGGGGAACAGGATCTCCAGTTCTGCGTCTTCTAGGACTGGATTCTGTGTCTTTATCTTGTCTATCAGGTCTGCTTTTTCAATGTCTTTATCAACGTTGTAAATGATAATTTTCGGCTTGATCTTCTGTGGTCTCTTGGTTTCAACTATATCCTTCAGCTTCTTGTTTTCTCGGATCGCTTCCTCGAGTAATTCCAGTTCTTCCTTCTCGTTTACTTGGATGAGGACGCCGCCTTTGTTCACCTTCTTGACTGCTTTGATTCCGACTTTTATCTGTGCGGGATCTACGTATCTGGTAACCTTCTCCTTCACCTGTTCTGATGTCATCTCCTTTTTAGGATAGACGATCGTGACGTGCTCAGGATTCTTTCTTTGCCTGCTTCTGTAACGCGCTTTGGAAATTGATCTGCCCCTTTTGGCCATGCTGGCGTAGGTGGGCTTCTCTGTGGCTACGACTCCTCTTATGAAGTCTTCTATGTTCGCTGTCTGCTCTAGCTGTCCTTCCAGTCTTGCTATTACCTGGTTTTTAGTAGAAACTTCATTAAGTACTTTAAAAAAAAGCTCCTTGATACACTTAGATGGTTTCTTAGGTATCTCATATTGTGTAAGGATGCCCAGCAAGTCATCCATATAGTCAAGTGCCTCCTGCACACAATCAACATTGGAAGTTTGAACTTCCGGTGTCTTCCTAGCTGTATCGTCCCTAACTGTTGGTCGAGCCTTCGTCGCCGGGCCCTCCGTTTTCTCTTTGGAGGTATCAGCCCGACTTTCCAGCCCGGTGTCTTTTCGTCGTGCCATCTTGCCTTGTCTTGTAATTAGGCGCAAGACGACGTGTAGGGGATATGTAACCTAACTAAGGGACCACTGCATGAACCGTAAATGGGCCCAACTTACGCAGTGGCTGCGGTTCACAAGTCCGGTACCCTGGGGTTCACACCGGACCTGTTACTTGGCGAGTGGAAATACGTTAGACCCTCTTTCGAGGGAGCCCCCAGACTACGGCAAGGTCTATTTCCACACGGGAATGCGTATTGCAAATGACCGTCCAATGACCACGTTTAAACTCAGATAATCCTGGACGGCACCCGATGTTCTTTCTGAGATGGGTCAAACGGACTCGCTTTGAGTTCGACAAGGCTCTCGCGCAAGTCAAAAACAAAAGACTACAATAATGATCGCATTCCCCCTGGGGGAATGTAGCGGTAAGTCTGATTCACCTTATACAAAAATCTTATGTGTACACTACATGACTTCCTTGTACGGAATATTATACGCATTTTTTCTTGCATTTCATTTAAACTCATTGGATTGAATTAAATCTACTTCTTTGACAGCGTCAATAGAATAGACAACCACAATAGAATAAATGCATTCTTTAAAATTCACTCTAGTATTTGTTTACCATAGCGACACTCTGGCGCTAGATTCATTTAACAGTATTATATTTCGTTCATATTATAGCTCATAATGCACAAAATTTATATCATTTAAAGAATAGAATTATCGAATCGTTGCCACATGTTCTATTCAAATATTATAACAAAGCTATAACGATGTATGAAAGAAATTGAGCAAACAAAACAAGAAACAGTTTTTCACAGACGATTGAATATTTCTCATTCAAATAATTCAGTTTTCAATTCGCGACAAGGCAAAAAATACATAAAAACTCAAAATATCTGTATTATAAATTACGAAGTAAATCTGAAACTTTTATTTCCTTCAAAAAATTCCAAAAACCATTAAGCATGATTTAAATAATAAATGAAGGCGTTATCTTTGTTGTTGCGAAGCTAAGTTTCTCTAGATTGGCAACAAATCCGCTATCCTGCTGTTTCAAATGTAAAAAATTGAGTCCTAAATCAGTTTTATCCTAAGTTTTATAAATCAAATTTTATTTGTTTGTTTATGTAATCAATGATATTAAAAAAAAATTGAGTAAAACAAGAAATTTCAAAATAATAAATGATGGATTACGTCTTTTCACACAAAATTTATATCATTTAAAGAATAGAATTATCTAATCGTTGCCACAAGTTGTATTCAAATACTATAATAAAGCTAGAACGATGTATAAAAGAAATTAAGCAAACAAAACAAAAAAGAAACAGTTTTCCACAGACGATTGAGTATTTCTCATTCAATCAATTCAAATCTCACTTCGCGACAAGGCAAAAATACATAAAAACTCAAAATATCTGCATTAAAAATTACGAAGTAAATCTTAAACACTTATTTCCTCGAAAAAATTCCAGAAATTATTAAGCATGATTTAATTTGCAATAATAAATGAAGGCGTTATTTTTGTTGTTGCGAAGCTTAGTCTCTCTAGATTGGAAACAAATCTTCTATTCTACTGTTTCAAATGTAAACAAATATGTTCGCCATGTTTTTTAAAACTTTACCGCACTTAAACAACTTTTAAATTGTTGACAATTGTACAAATATTGCTTCCAGATTTACGAAAGGCATAAAAATCTTAACCGGAAGATAAGAACAACATAATTCAATCATTTATAAGGCAAGAAACGTACAATTTACAAACATATAAGAGTAAAGAAACTGAGATCAAAATGCCGAGTAACAGAGGTGGATATATATATAAATATATTTATATACGTTTGGTGCTTACGTTCAGATGTCACTCAAAAACATCGTTAAATTGCATTCGATAGCGGTCAAAATGGATATTTTCGTTGAAATATGCTGCCTGAAAATTTTCACGATTACAATACTTCCTTTTTACTTCGTACGAGGAAGTATAAAAGAAAAAAAACATTATTATCCCCAGCGCGCGAGACTCTGTATCGGAAATTCTGAAGATATACTCTTAAGTTATTTTGTAATACTGCTGTTGAATTGAATTTTATGGTTTAAAGTACGAAGAACATCATATTTAATAAATACAGGTAACACACAAAACTTTAAAAAAAGTCCCTTTTGGGCTTAATATAAAATCTGAAAGAATATTCAGATTTTCTTTTTTTTAGTCCAAAGGGATTTGAGTCCCAAAGGACTATTACTATCGTTTTGGCATTTTGCCTCAGACTCCTATAAATGTCGGTTCACTTTTCAAACTATTGCCATAAAATGTTAAGAGTCCTGCATTTTATTTGAAGAAATTAAATAATGAAAAATCTGCATAAATGTATGTCTATTTCTCGTATTGTGATTAAACAACGGTATCTAGAGCCAACCAATTTTGCATGACGTAATCCTACTGCGAATATGGGTATCTGAAATCCCAAATTTGAAATTTGGAATTTGTTTTATTATTGATTTCATATTTTGTGAAACTTTAACGAATTTTGAGTAACAAACTCAACGATTTAAAAGCGAGCGATGGCAACACTCTACGGAGGGGAAAAAACTTTTTTATCTCCAGCGCGTCGAACTGTGTATCGGAAGTTCTAAAGATATGCTCAATTTTAAAATTATTTTGCGACATTGCTATTGAACGAAATTTTATGGTTTAAGTGCAAAGAACATGTTATTTAATAAATAAAGGTAACACACAGAACGCTGAAAAAAGCCCTTTTGGACGTAATATAAAATCTAAAAGAATCTTCAGATTTTTTTTTTTTTTTTTATGTATATAATTTTAATGAAATTTTTATTGGTAGGAACGCTTAAGGTATGTAAATATCATAAATGTTTTAGTTTGAATTACTTTTTGTATAATATACCGAGTAAAATATGTTTGTATTTCATCAATTCCTAATCGTACTTCATAAATACGTTGTTTCTCCTAAATCAATGAAATTACTTATAATTTAATTAGTTTAACAAATTTCTCGCGTAGGTATGTGGTATCCTATATGATAGGTTTTAATTTTGTCCTGAAAAATATTTAGTATCTTTCGACTCCAAATGGTTTTAGTATTAATAGCTAGAAGTCATTATTTAACAAAAAATATTTTACAAAATAAAATGTTTAGTACTTTTTCCCCTTCTATTATCTATGCTACCTTTATAAATAGAAATTACAAGAGCGTTCTTAATCCTGCATCTAAATTTAGAAAAGATTTTTACTTCTTCCTGGTTGTGAACAGACAAGTAGGCGTTGCCACGGACGCGGTGGTTTTACAAATGAGACAAACGACAAACTGAAAGATTTATGTTACTTAATATTGCGGTGAGTGCGCTTGTGACAAATGTCAGCTCTGAATATTGATCCGTTTTCTTGTTTAAGTAAAGTACATTTTCAAGCTTTGACCCGCATCGGCCTATAGATTGCTTGCGATTTCAGTCTAAAGATGGTAAGGTACCATTAAATGAAGAGCAGCATAAATACAAACTTAATCTTAAATTTAAATCTACAAACCACTACAAAAAACAAAAACAAAACAAAACAAAACAAAAAGATCTGAAAGGTTTCGGATTTTAAATTACGTCCAAATTGGTGTCTTTTAACATTTTGTCGGTTACCTTTATTTATTAAAAATCATGTTCTTCGGACTTAAACCATAAAATTCAGTTCAAGAGCAATATCGCAAAATAATTTTAAAATGAGCATATCTTTAGAATTTCCGATACACCAGTCTCGCGCGTTGGAGATAAAAATGTTTTTTCTGTAAAATATTGCCATTGCTTGCTTTGAAATCCTTGAGTTTGTTAACCTTTCGAAGACCGGATGGCCATTATAGTGGCCATAGAAATTATAGTGGCCATTATAGTGGCCCTCTTTGAAAAGACGGGGTTGTCCACTTTAGTGGCCATGTCTTTTTAACCCATTTTCCAGGCTGAAAAGTAGGGTGAAATGTCAAATTTGACGTCTCTGTGGTTTTAACCACTTATCTCTTTCAAAGGTCTTTCTTTTGCGACATAGATGCACCCCTCTGAGAATCCATTAAACTACACACAAGAATCTTTTGCAAATAGGAGGGGATTTCTTAAAGGGGGAAAAGCATTTGGTTCAAGATTCCCCGTCCTTTGGTAGCTTTTACTGCTACCAAAGCCCCGGCCTCAAAAGGTTAATCAAAAATTCGTTAAAGTTTTCCAAAATATGAAATGGATAATAAAGCAAATTCCAAATTTCAAAGTTGGGCTTCCACATGCCCATATTCGCAGTAGGATTACATCATTCAAAATTGGATGGCTCTAGGTACCATTGTTTGATCACAATGCAAGAAACATACATACATTTATGCAGATTCATCATTATTTAATTTCTTTAAATATAATGCAGGGCGATAATATTTGGTGGCAACAGTTTGAAACGTAATTCGCCGTTTATAGGTTTCCACACAATATGCCAAAGCGAAATTAATAGTCCTTCTGGGCAAATTGCCATTTTGGATTTATAAATTAGAAAAGATTGTATATTTAAATATTTTGATCACTGTTCAAGGGGATTATGAATATATACAGTTCAGAAAATTTATAGTATTTTAATAGCTCACTTAATTTTCCCTTCTTTCACGTTTAACTGGTTTGAAATAACGTTGGGAATTAGATTAAATTTTGAACAAAGACAATCTATGCTACTAAAAATCTTTGCCCGTCTGGTTTGTTTGTTTGTGGCATTATCTCCTCCGGAACGGCGAGGAGTTTAATTTCCAAAGAGGGTACCCCCAGATTCCAAAAAATCGTCGGAAGCCATTTCGACCATTCTCATCTTCTTATGTCTTTAATAAGCGGAGATATTCACTAAAAACTCGGAAAACGTTCATTTTCGCCCTCATTTTTCCGTGGCGACAGTCCCTCGCGCTGTAGATAAAAATAATGCTTTATTTCGAAAAGTGTTGCCACCGCTCGCTTTCAAATCGTAGAGTTTGTTTGTAAAGTTGCGCGCTTCC